TACATAGGTTGGAGCAAATTAGTATTATTGCTTTCATCACTATTAAGGCTTCTGTAAATGGAGGTACAGTAGGCTCTCGCCAATAACGACTTCCACAATAACGTTTTTGACAATAACGGTAAGTTACAATAGATACCCATTTTCGATAATAACGTCTGGATTCTCTTGAATAACGGAAATTTCGCGGGAAGCGTCCCAGCTCATCAATGATAGCGTTTGTTTGCCGCCATGTTGCTGACGTAGTTGTCCACTCCGCCCCACTCTCACTCTCACACACGCTCAGTGGAATACAGCGCTGCGCCCACGTGTGAGATTTTCGCCACTATAACCAGTGGTTGTTAGGGTCGGTGATCAATAATGGCTTCTGCATTTTTGCCTGTGGGGGCTAGGGGAGGTGGTGGAGGGAGTGATTTGCCACCTGAATGACAGGGAACTTTTAAAGTGGGTAAATTGAACTGTCCTGAATCTACAGTGTGAAATATTAAGAGGAACTTAGAGGAGACCAAGAAGAGTATTGTGCTGGCTAAAAATATTTCGGTAGTGATGGAAATGTGAGGTGAGCTATGAATGATAAAGGCGATAGAAACAGGTTGTTGGTGATAACAGAGCATTTTCTTGTGAAATGGTTAGCTTGTAGAATAAAAGACAGTGCAAGTGTTAGCGGCCCTCAGATACGGAACAATCATCACACCAAGCACCTCAAAAACTCCCCCAAGCTAAGTGTTATATTACTCAAACTCTTTATTTTGATGATTGAATAACAATTCTTTTTATTTCAGCGAACAAAAAGGGGAAAAAATGGGTGAAATTCTTGTGGCGGCGGCACCAATAAACCCTTTTTACATGTATTTTAATGTCACACAAATAACGTTATCGCTAATAACGATGTTTTTCAAGCACCTATTAAACGTTATTGGTGAGAGCCTACTGTAAATAGTAAATTACCACTACTACATGGCACTTCTATACAGCAATATTCACAAAACTTAGTATCAAGTTCAACACTGTAAAATTTGGTTCCTTTCCTAATATATATTAACATACCTCTCCCTTCCTTATTAAGGAGATTTTGCTCTATAATGTCATAACCTTCTAGGTTATATTCTGCTGTAATCCGTTCATATCTGAAGTGTTTTGGGTTTACCTCCTGTAAGGCTATTACTTGCGGAGTATTTTCCATCTCCTTCAACTGTGCATTTAACTCTATTAACTTGTCTGAACTCAACACATCCACATTACTAAACATAATAAGAAATTTACCTATATTAACATTTTGTTCTTGTTATTTCCTATTTTTAATCAGTTTCCTTACACTATTTACACTATTGGTATGTACATGTTTCTCCTCTTTGGGCCTCACTACTTCTCTTGGACCCCTATTTTGACGACTCTTTGCCTCCACGGTGGACCCCCACTCTGTGTCTCCCCTTCCCGGAGTCCATTAAGTTTTTTGCCTCCTGCCATAAGACAGCTTCATGTTCTCTCTCCCTTTTAGTTAAGTCTTGGAATTTCATGTTACCTTGCAGGTTCCTGATGTTTCTAAATAGGTTGGCCTTTATATCTGCAGTAGATAACTTGATTAGCATAGGTCTAGCTTTTCCCTGGATAAATTTACCCAGCCTAATCACTTTAATTATTATCTCCTGGCCACTAGTGATGCACATTCTTTTATTAGGTTCAGTGCATAAGATTTATCACTCTCAATCCTTTCGCTCATTGTTGGGGATTAAATTTTGGTGCACCATATACCACTATGCTGTTTTCCCTCTTCTTTCTCTCATTTAGAGCCTCTATAAGTTCACCAACAGGCTCTGGTTTCCCTGTGTTGTCTTCCTGCTTCACTTCGGTGGCACTACCTGTTGCCCTGCTATAATCTACTTTCCCTTCTAAACCCACTGTTCTAGCCACCAAGGTTCCCAGTCTGTTTTCAAAACCCCTGTCATTCTTAGCATTTGTTTCCAACACATCATTTATTTCAACAGACTTTGCCTCCAATATACCCATCCTGACTTCTATCTCCTTATTCTTATCGTGTTCCTGTGCTGTAAATTCTCTCAGTTGATTTACTTTGCCTTCCAATTCATTTTGTTTGGTCATTTGTTCCACCTGTTGTTGTTCAATTCTTTTTATGTACTTGTGCAGTTTAGCACAACCCTTCTTGCGGTGACTGCAATACCACATCAACACTCCTTCTGCCTCCTCATCATGCATGAAGGTATATACCTCTTCTGGTAATTTTTCACATTCGATGTGGAACCACACTTCACAAACATCACAGCTAACTGCTTTGTTGCTATCCTTGACTGTTAATCCACATTCTCCACACTTCTCGTTGTTCTTTCCTCCATGTTTGTTGACACTTGCCTTCCTTCTCCTGTCCCCTGAGACCTTGGTCTCACTCATTTTGACTTCTTCTTTATTGTATATAAAAAAATTTGATGGGCTTACCTTCCTGTATGCCTCCGTCTATTCACAGAACTGCGTATCTACTTAATTTCCACTTATGTTCCTTTGTTATTCATAAATTTGGGCAAAATTACAAGAGCTCTATCTTATCCTATCCTATTACCAGGACCTCCACATGATTACATTAAAGCTGTTTTGCATCTCAGTTTAAGGTTTCCTGTGGACTTTATTTACAATATCTCTGAAATCTCATTTTTGTTAGACCATGCCATTAAGGACATTTAAAAAATAACCTAAACTAACCAAATGTAACCTAACCTAACCTAACTTAACCAACCTATCTTATCCTATCCTAATACAGCTGTGGTTGCTGAATTTAATACAGTACATATATAAATCAACACATAATCTTGCACTTCTGCATCACTAATACTGTATTAGGTATATTTCACCCATCTCTTTTAAACACCAAACCAAAGTGATTTAGCTTAACTGTTATCATGTGAAAGATAATTGTTTGTGGAACACATTTTAATAGCTCATGTCATAGCTATATTTTTCACTTAGTTATGTTTGCACTTGCATTAAAAATTTTTTGGCATTTCATTTATCTTTAATAATATTTGTAATACCTGTACTTGTACCTGTAATTTCTAATAATTGTGTTAACACTAAATAATTGCATGTGTTACAATAATGAATGAATACTTTAAGCATCACAACTACAGTACAGTGGTCCCTCGGTTAACGAGCACAATCCGTTCCAGCAGGTTGCTCGTTAACTGAAAATCTCATTAACCGAAACCATTGTTTCAATGGGTTTTTGGGTAATTGGTTCCAGCTCACCAAAAATTGCCTAAATTCAACAAAAAAGGTAGAAAAGTTCACTTACTTTGAGGTGTGTATGTAGAAGGCTCCTGGATGATGATGATGATGTGAATTTGAAGGGGGAGGTGGAGGAGGAGAAGGGAGAAGAGAAGGAAGTGGAGGTGGAGGAGAAGAAGGGAGAAGAGAAGGAAGTGGAGGTGGAGGAGAAGCATTTTACTGCTTCTTGGAAGGTGAGTCACCTTCCATGAAAATGTCAGGAACCTCTGGACTGACAGATTCTCCACCATGAACATCCTCTCTCCTTCTTGAAGTGGAAGGCTGAGGGATAGCATCTTGTTCCCTCTGCCTTTTACTGAGGAGTATTATCCATGAGAAGAGCCTTTAAAGGGAGTTTATTGGTGGTTAGGTAGCTCTTGACAGAAGGGCAAAACACATCAACAGCCCATTCATTAAAGAGCTGTCTTGTCACCCATGCCTTACGGTTGGACTTCCAATAAACTCCAAGCTTTGTTCTTACCACTTTCTGTTGCTTGAACACCCTGGGGTTTTCAGAGTGGTAGACAAGCATAGGCTTCAGTCGGAAATCCCCTGAAGCATTGGCACCAAGCAATAGAGGCTTCATCTCTGGTGATGAATGTTCTTTTGGGCATCTTTTTCCAGAACCGCCCAGTTTCATCCACATTGAACACTTGCTGTGGAAGATAATTTTCTTCTTCCATCAGTTTTTTAAATTCATCTAAAAACTTTGCTGCCCCTTCCTTATCAGCACTATTAGCTTCACCATGCCTAACAAAACTGAAAATGTCACTTCTTTTCTTAAATTTTTCGAACCAGCCTTTGCTGGCCCAAAAATCTTCAAATTCTGTGCCTGAAGAACCAGGTTGATCGGTCTTTAAATGTTCGTAAATCTCCCTGGCTCTTTCACAAATGAATTCAGTAGAAACTGAATCGCCTTTCATCTGTTTTTCCCTAATCCAGATGATAAGTAACCTCTCAGTTTCTGCAATTAAGGATCTACTTTTAAACACTCTTGTAGATTTGTCTCTCACTTTAGTTTTCTTTAAATTTGTCTTTCTGTGCAAGAAATGTCGACACAGTTGATGTCGACATGCCATATTTTTGCATAGCGCATTTGTTCTAATGCCTTGTTCATGTTTTTTTATGATTTCCTGCTTGGTTTGGATTGAAATCGCTTTTCTTGATCTCTTAGGCCCCATGCTGGATTCAAACAATGTCAACACGTGCTTTTTAAAGTTAAACTTGTTGTAAACAAAGAATATTTTCTTTAAAATAACACTGCACTGCGCTATATATTATCAATATGTAAAATAAATTTCAAAATGACCAATAATTTGCTTGGAAACAGAAAAAAGCATATAGTTGAAGAAAGTCTCAAGCAAGATGTTACCTCCAGTGAAAACAGAGAGAGACTAAAGCCTGTTTGCTGTGTTAAGAGGCTGGATGCCGCGCATTAAACTAGTCACTTTACCTTCAATTATGTTCAATAATTGTTAAAATGTCTAAAAAATTTAATATTAAACTTTTAAAATTATTGAATAGTGTAAACTTCTTGATATTTACTAAAATAGTAAGGAATTTAAGCCCTAGAACCGATTAATGTATTGGCGGACTAATACTACAGCTGGTTGACCGCCCAGTGCAAGCCAAAACTTGTTGAGGTCAGCTCGTAAGAAACTCGTTAACCAAGGGGTTGCTCGTTAACCGAATTTAAGAATCTTATGGGAGGTAACTCGTTAACCGAAATCTCGTTAACCGAGGGACCACTGTATTACTAATGTTACTACAATACAACACCGACCATTAAATTAGCAGTGTGTTAGGGTCGACTACCAACAATGCATTTAATTTATTTATGATCAAAATGGAAAGTATTACAATATAAGATATTACATGTCACACTTCCCAGATGCTTCTGGTGTTATTGTACAGGGGTACCTAGTGACAGCACTAGGATCCCGCTTCCTCTATCAAGGAATAAACAATTGAAATTTAATTGATATTTCCTTCAATGTCTTCTTAATAATGTTTAAATCACTAAATCACCAATATAACGACTGTTAAATAGAACGCTTAAATATATCTGCAGTGTGGACCTTGGTGTGTGAAGGGTTTGCATGCAGTGCAGTTGTAACACATGTGGCTCAATAGAGGGTCAGGTTCATGCTAATGTTGTTCATTATCCAATTGGTGACTCGCCACCTGTACAAACTGCACACAAGTGTGGTAACGGGTGTGCATGTGTGCAGTACTGTATATACAGTCGTACGAAGGGGCAGATACGCACACACGGAGTGGTGACCATGGCTGCTCTACAACCTACTGTGCTCGTCAAGCTCCTCCTACTCTTCTTCGTTTTCCTGTTCCAGGGTACGTAAGTTGATTTTCCTTCTCTTCCAAATGATGATTTCCCAGGGTTATGTCATTTATCGCTAAGATACTCCCTCATGAAAAACCTTTCCATTGAGCTATATATGACTTCTTCATGTTCAGTAGTTAAGTGGACCTGCAACTCAAAAATGCATACAGGACACACAACTTCACTTCATAGTTATGTGGCAGTTTGTTGTAGTATTAAGTTATGTAGTACAGTATTAGGTATGTAAGTTGTGAAAGTGGGTCCCGTAGGTCCGATGGTGAATACAGTACAGGTAGTTCTGCTATAACGCGATAATTGTGTTCTTGTAAAATATCGTGTTATAGAAAATCGCGTAATAGAAATAACAGGGCTTATGGAGAAAATAGGGTTAGGTGCAGATTACTCAAAATCGAGAAAATTTAGTAGTTAGCCTAACACAAAGGATAGCACAGTCTAAATAAATGTTACATTCATATCTAATAATGAAATCATACAGTAAATGTAACACTTTACTTGATGGGGGAGAAGGGTGATTTTGAGGTTGATAAAATCGAGCTTCTCTTCAAGTGTTATATCCTTTCTTTTACGATCATCACCAGGAATTCTATCACCAGAACGCTTCTTGTTGATATTCTTCTTTACTATATTCACAGTTAATACAGTGGGGTATGCTATAACGAACGGATTCTACTACGAATATTCCTATAACGAACGGTTTTACCTATAAAATTGAGAATGCTATAACGAACGAAACTCCTACAACGAACATTATTTAATTTTTTTTTTCTAATTTATTGTTTTTTTATTACAAATATTAATGATATTCTTTATTTCAGGGGTTTAGATGCATCTTTATGCACTTTTTTACAATTTTTACAATTTTATATTATATTTTTCAGTGTTAAGTGGTTGTATTTGGGGGCCTGGAACGGATTAATCCTATAACGAACGAATGCTATAACGAACAAGGTTCTAGAACCAATTAGATTCGTTATAGCATACCCCACTGTACCACAAAATTGGAGAAATAGTAAGCAAAAATCGCGTTATAGCAAACAAGCGTTCGCGTTATACAAATATCGTTCCTAATTCATAAATCGCGTTAGAGCAAATTCGCGTTTTCAAAACACGCGTTATAGCAGAAATCACTGTACACCGTAAGCTTTTTTTAAGTACAGTACACGAGGAAGCAGTGTGGTTGGAACTGTACATGATTGCCTTTGCTTCCCTAATTGTAAAGCTAGGTATCCATTCACAACCAGGTGGGCTGGGGCTACCATGGGTGCAAACTAGCAACACCAAGAATAGGATGCCAGTGCTGTATATAATCATTCTACCAGCCATCTCTATTGTAGATGAAGTGAACCATTAGATGTGATCCCACATCTTCAGTTAAGAAAGAAATATTAATGTAAGACTAACTAGATATTTGAGTGAGGCTTCAGTTGGCTTCCATAATATTCAGCTTAAATGTGACAGCAACTAAGGCTTTGATATTCTATTGAGAATAAATTGTAACAAAAAATGATCTTTTAATACCAGGTAAAGGAACAGAGTTATCTTATAAATATTTGAGAATCGTGTCTCGTCGGACTGTCATTTCTCTGACCCCTGTGATATGATAATAAATACTGTATATGAAAAAAAAAATTAATGATGCCTACATCTTTACACCAAATACAGTCAGTTATGAGTAGAAAGCAATTATCTACCCAGTGGTGTGTACATTTCATTACCACCTTATTTGCCATGTATCTCATGGCAGCACTTGTGTTCACATCCATGACGTCACATTTTGATCCACGAGTTCAATTTATGGTAGTTATACAGGTACCGTATCTGCATTTACATTCATGACGTCACCTTTGTTTACACACGTGGTCCAATCAACTACTCAGGTACTTCGGTACCTTCATGGCTGTATGGTAATTAATTGGTCTAACAGTTTAGTTCACAGAAATGACAGACATAGGCTGAGACAAATTATATCTTATTCAGAGTAATATTCCTAAATATGTATACATACCTGTATTGATAAATAATTTTTCACTTTGTATTTTTCTTTAGTTCTGCCACAGCCCAATACATATATTGATCACTGATTCGCTTACTGACAGAGATATACAAATGTTGCTCAGTGACAGAAAAAATATGAGTTCTATACTGGTACAGTACACTCTTCCCAGAATATACTTAATTTCATTTTCATTGTCTTTCATCTTACTCTTTCTGCCTAACAATTAGAACTATTAACTTCAAACTCGTACCTCTGACTCTATGAGTCATGTTTGAATATTTATTATTCTGGATTGGAGATAGGTTTGAGGTCAAGGTCACAATCCAATTATGAATTACTCGACCGTGTGACAGTGGAGGGTGACCTGCCACTCACTGAGGGCCGATGTCCATGTTTTATGTTAATGTGAACTCATCCTAAAACTTACAAGGTGACTTAATCCAAGAACCATCTTGATGAAGAGAAAGACTCATTGTAATTAACTTTTAAATTATTAATCTTAGAATTGGTACTCACAGGCTGCACTGGTCTGAACAGCACAGTAATCACCTCTACTTTGTTTGTTGTGAAATTTTCTCCTCACACTTGTACACATCTGAGTAGCCATTAAAGCTGTACTAATGTTTATTCACATAGTGTAATGCTTGTTGATCAACATGTCCCTCTCACCTGCTCAGGTATAGTATGGTCCACAATAACAACATACTGTACAGTGCATGGAGCCAACTATTTTTTAGAAATCACTGATATACGAGTGTACAGTAAATACAGTAAACCTTGGATAACTTGATATTTGATAACTTGAAAGTTCATATCACTTGGCATGGATATGGTCTCGGAATGTATTAGTATAACTCAGGAAACGAAAAATTATCTGGGAAAATCTCGACATTTCTGGCCACCTGCATCACCTACCATGCATCTGTGTCACCTACTATGATGCTTTATTCTTTGCCTGCAGTGCTGGTAAGTGTTACTTTTTTACATTTAGTAATTACATGTACACATACAGCGGTCGATAATTTTTTATTGTTGTATTTTTGTAGGAGGGGGAAGTGCCTCGATAAGTCGGAATTTGGGATAACTCGGCAAGGCCAGAGCCTCATATGTGCCAAGTTATTAAGGGTTCACAAAATATGCTCTTATGTATCTTCACCTGGTACAACACGGCCTTCAAGTGCTCCCACAAGTAAAAATCAAGAGGGGTGAGGCCTGGGGACCTCAAGAGGCCACTCCACGGCGACCATATCCAGTGTATTGCCCGTTTGTCATTAGTACATATGTACAAACAAGTACAATACAGAGCTTCTTACATTCTAGGAGCGGAGTCGAAGACAGGGACAGGAGCTGTTGTCAAAGAAGACTCCCCCAGCACCACCGCTGGTACATATTTTTATGCAATTGTGTATTTGAATATGCAATATAGATACCATATCAATAACTATACCGTACAGTACAGTATATAGTACCAGTACAGTATATGTTTTAAGTTCTTATTATTGTTTATTTATACATTATATACTGTACAGGTACATTTAGTCTATGCATATTAGAAATAGATATTTCATCACTTCATAGCTTATAAATTATTATGAATACTGATAATTATAATTATAATCAATAGAAGTCCAAAATTCCGGACTGCTTGAGGATTGGGTCGGTCCGGATTTTCCGGCAGTACTGTACTTTTAAAATTCAAATTTAAGGAGGAATAAAGAAGAGGTGAATAGATACATTTTGATAGTTTATTCATTAGCAAATATAGCATGCTTCATTTATCAAAACGAGCAGTTTTAAAGAAAAAGCTGTGAATTCTAGAATTTTATTCGTTGCCTTTTTTATATCATAAATTGTAGACTTTCCAGTGTTGTATGTTTCCATTAGAACAGTATTGCTCACACAACGTTCTATTTTAATTATTTATAAATTTGTCACTCAATTTCAACGTGTTCTTCTTTCTCTTCACACAACGAAGTTTATCTACTTTAGAAGCCATTATCATGGGCTCTGTAAATGGAAAGAGTAGGACTCAAAATTACATACGTTGTCGCAGTTTGATTGCTCATTTTAAAGTGGCGACCGCGTGGTCGCTTGTTGTTGCTGTGCAGCTGTGGCGCTCACGCATGCGCACATACACACAAAAGCCAGATAAAAAAAAAAATTGAGTTTTCGAAAAGTCCGGATTCTCGGGTGGTCCGGATTTCTGGCATCCGCATTTTTGGACTTTTACTGTATAAAAATGTGTTTAAGGAATAAATCATGGGACACCAAGTACTGATATAGATACTGTACAGAACTACTTATTGTGGAAGTGTAAAAGCGACCTGTGTTGTGGGATTCTCCATCATGAGTAGATGGAGCTGAACTGACATATGGCAGAAGAAATGTGGTGTGAAAGCATGGCTTTTTGGAAACCAGACATCCGTATATTTTGTAGTGAAAAAAAAATAATTAAAATTGTGAAAGTGGCCATAAGTGATGGATTTCAAGGTTAAGTTAAGATTATCAGTGATGGATTTTAAAGTTAATTTAGAGTCAAATGTAATTTATTTTAAGATTAAATTAAGGTTATGTCACCCCACCACCCTGTGCTAACTACCCAACCACTCTCTACCATCTATGCCAACCTCCCACCCCACCACCAATCAATCAACCACCCTGCTACCAACCACCGTACCACCCACAGAACAAACTATTGTACTACCACACTACCTCCATCAGCCACCATCTTCCGTACCACCACTTGTGACTACAAAGCCTTCAACCCAGCCCATACTATGACTTTAGGGGTCAACTCTAAGTGTAACATCAGCTGGACCGGGATAACGGATGAGGAGAGGCAGGAAATTCTTGATGCTCACAACACTCTAAGGGCCAAGGTCAGATCAGGTCACAATGCCAAGGATTGAGTAATCGTACAGAATATTGTCACTGTAGTTATTTATTATTATTGGAGTCAGGCGGTCGAGTGGATATAACACTCATCTCATGTTACATGGATGGGTGGTTCAATCCTGGTCTCTCCCAGTTCACCCAGCTGCAAATGGGTACTTGGGGGAGTGAATGCAGTCGAGCATAGTACTGACCATGCTACCTCCTTGTGTATTGAAGGCAAGTTTCTTTATACCATTTGCCTCTGTCTACCTGGCAGTAATTAGGGACCTGTTTTGTCATTTTTGCATCATGTTCCTGGGTAATGTTTTTCTTAGAATATCCCTCAAGACCTACCTTCTTTTACATTAATGGCCACCCACTAGAGGTGGCCATGCCGAAGGAGGGAAACCAATAACCTGTGTAGGATCTCTTCATTGTTCTTGATAATTTTGTCAAAGGTTATTTTGAACCCTGTATCATGTGCCCGGATCTTAGATGCTGTTCGTGCATGTGGGACTTTGTCAAATACCGACAAACAAGATTTTCTTTCCATGAAATAGTGTTGTGATGTGATGATCCACCATCACCACTACCTGTATCACCACCACCATTACCTGTACCCTGCACCACCATACCTGTACCACCACCATACCTTATCACCACCACCCTCATTACCACCACTACCTGTATCATTACCTCTACCACCACCAACACCCGCAGGTAGCTCAAGGGAACGAAAAACTGGGTGATCTAGGACCACAACCATCTGGTGCTAACATCCAACAGTTGGTCTGGAATGATGAGCTGGCACAGGTAGCTGAGGTAAGGGTTAATAACGCACGTATGGCTTAATGGTTCAGATATGGCTTAATGGATCATTACCACTTAATTTCTTAGTCATGTGCTTAAGGGTTCAATTATGGTTTAATGGGTCAAGTATTGCTTAATGTCTCAATCATTCATGTAATGGTTAATGGCTCAGATAGGGCTTAATGACTCAGCCATGGATAAATATTATCATTCAGGTACAGTTTAATGGCTCAGTTATGGTTTAATGGCTGAGGTATGGCTTATTGGCTCAGGTATGGCCTAACAGCTCAGTTATGGCTTAATGGCTCGATCACATCTTAATTACACTTGATATGGCTCTGGTTGAGGAGGTAACATTCTGACCTCCAATACCCAGATCATCCACATACTGTACTGTATTATAACAACCTGCCTCACTGTTCTCAAAGACTACTGTGTCTTCCTCAGGCGTGGGCGAGTCAATGTCGTAGGGGCCACGATGGCTACCCCAAGAGGAAGATCTGCTCCAGGAACTATGTTGTAGGCCAGAACATCTTCTACCAATGGAGTAACAACCCTGCCTCGGTACATATAAGATAAAAGTGGCTTTATTTAGGGTTCCTGTATCCATTATCATCTTCTGGTTAGGGTTATTATATGAATGTTTACCTTATCATCTTATTGTATTACTTTCTCAATGATTTCGTTTCAAAAGTTAAATAATAAGTACTTAAGTACTACAGTAATTACCCACTAGAGAAAGAAAGAGTAAATAATACAGTTTTGAAAATATCAGTGTTGGTAATTAATAGACCATCTCCATTGTAGAGTATGTCGATAACAAATAGGAGTGGAGTGAGATCTATCATTTGGCAGGTATGTGCCAGTAGGAAACCTTAAAACCTGGGAAAAAAGTCAATGGGACTGGGAGAAATTTTAATATAAATCGGGTTTAGCCAATAGAAAGAAGGATCAACTGGCCACTTTAACTGATACAAGTAACTGATTCAGATCTCCTGAAGATCTGTCCCCTTAGCTTATTTCACCTCAGGAGTAACCACCCTAATGCTAACCTAACCTTCCAGGTAGTGTTTAATCATCATGTGAAATAAGTTGGGGTCTAATCTCCAGGAGATCTGCAGATTCTAATGCCACTGTTAATATAATTATCCCATCCATCAGGTATGGACGAAAGCGGTAAAGTCATGGTACAATGAGGTATCTTACATGCCCAACACCTACGTCTCCACCTTCAATGCTGTCCCACCTTCTAATAAAGTAATTACCCACTACTCCCAGGTAAGATGCGACAATGTGCAGAAAGGGTTGAAGGGTTATGGAAAGGGAATGTAATTGGTGTAGGTTTGTGAAAAGGAACTGTGGCTAGTATAAGGTTTGGAGAGGGCCTGTGATTGGTGGAGGGTTTGAAAAGGGCCTAGGGTATATTTGGTGTAGGGTTTTAAAAAGAGTAGAGTTTTTCAGGTATGTGCAGTGATTGCTATTTTGTAAGAATTGTAGAGATAGGTGGAATTTATCAGGCAGTATGCAACAATTACTAGAGTTTTGTTGGTAACTTGCTATGATTTGTTAAAATCCTTGAATATGAGTAAAGGAGAATTTTATTAGACAGATGTTATTTTGATTTAAAGAATGAAATTGGATTGAAGATCGTGTGCACCAGCTGGGAAAAACACAAACACTATAATCTTTTCTGGCGTTTGTCTGCCTCGGTATATGGCCAAGCTATCTCGAAAGTATTGATACCTTCTCGTGTGGTATTCCTTCAAATGTTACGGTGTGGAGTGATCATCTTCCAGGTTGATTGGCACATTTCAGGTTTGTCTTAGGACTATCCATATACCTTTTCCATTGCCCACCAGCAATACGTTTGCCTTTCTTCAGACTGTAGAGTAGCTGCTTTGTCAGTCTACAGCGTACTGTCATCCATACAAGTAAAGTGGCAGATCCTAAGTAGCTGTTCATGGATAATGGCAACTTTGCTGCTCTTACAATTGGTGTAAGCGAGAATATTAGCTGACTTACTTGCTGAGTAGTCAGGACATCTACATCGTTCGAGAGAGAGAGACAAAAAAAAAAAAATAAAAAAATAAATAAATAAATAAATAAATCACCCTCAACTCTGCTCTACTAACAGGTAGTGTGGGCCAAGACCTACGAGGTTGGGTGTGGCGCCGTGTACTACACCACCATGTTCAGAGGGAAGACTTACACCCAGAGCAAGATCTACGTGTGTAACTACGGCCCCGCTGCCAACTACCGGAACAGACCTGTGTATCTAGAAGGTGTGCCAGCTTCCCAGTGTCCAAATACACCCTCTGAGGTGTATATTGGCTTATGTAACTAAGCTCAAGTTATCTACCATCTACCTGTGTAACTACTTGGGTTATCTACAATCTACCAGTGTAACTACTAGGGTTATCTACAATTTACCAATGTAATTACTCAGGTTATCTACCATTTACCAGTGTAACTACTTGGGTTATCTACTGTCTGCCTCTGTACCTACAGTAGACTGGAGTAATCTACTATCTACCTGCTTAATTACTCAGGTTATCTGCCATCTACATGTGTAACTACTCAGGTTATCTACCATCTACCAGTGTAACTACTTGGGTATCTATCATCTGCCGCTGTACCTTGACTGGTGTAATCTACTATCTACCCATGTAACTAGTAATGTCTATCATCCACCACCAGTCAAATACAGTATACCATTCTCCCTCTCTCTGAATACCTTTGAACACCTTAGAGGGCATTACTTAGTCAAGCATTCATACCCGGAACTAAGGAATGCCCACCCCATTAGAGGTTACAAATTCAGAGTAAACATTTTTGGAGCAAAAGTTGTGAACTCTTGCAACAATCTGAAAGAGAGTGTGAGCTCATTAGAGACCAAACTTGACCAACACAAGTACAAGTACAGATACTGTACACTCTAAAGCCAATATATGCCCAGTAGTACTTGTCAATAGTGAAGAAGATAAAGTGTAAAGATACATAACTGACTGCTGAAGTGGTAAACAGGCCGATCAGTGGCAAAGAGGATAGAGTAAAGTAGATATTTTAAAGAAATGTTTTTAATTCCTCAGGATTTAGTAAGCTCTTTGTATTATTTATTTTATATGAACTTGAGACACCTACCAGATACTTCAGGTAATATTGTACAGGGGTATCTAGTGACAGCATTAGGATCCCATTTCCTATAATATGGAATAAAATGTTGACATTGTATTGAAAGTAAAGTACTGGAGTGTATTTACTCATTTTGTTACATGCTTAAAAAACTTAGCTGTTTACGTGCAGCACAGGTTGGACCTCACTAATCCGGGAAGCTTGGGACCAGACTGGTTCCGGATTAGTGAAAATTCTGAATCATCGAAGCCAAGGTTAAAAAAAAAAGAGGCAAAATAATGCATAAAGTGTATTATTACTGGTACAAATACAACTTACATCAGCTCAAGTTTACTGTACTGTGACACAGAAATAAGTAGATTAGCAGAAAAAGCAAAGAGAAAATTGTATATTATAGGCCTACTGATACCTGTCCCGAACCATTGAAGCTGCCGGACTATCGGGTCCTGGATTAACGAGGTCCAACCTGTAATAGCATTATAATGCTGCTAAATGAAATATTAGGGAAGGAACAGTTCCAGGAAAGAGCTGATTCTTATCATAACAAACTCATGAAAACTTCAGGGTGAATGTAAGTGTACTCTGGTAATAATAACTCTTCAGCAGCCATGTAAATTACCGTCCAGTGTGTGGCTGTGTATACAGAGTAATAAATATACAATGAGGGAGGCCCAGCAGTACTGACATTATTTGCAGCACAGTGGAGATTGAAGAGGTTTGCATTGAGTGAGAGTACACAACAATTGGGGAGCTTCTTTGTCCTCCCAATTCTCATACTTGAAGCATTCTTCATTTACTATGTTGAAGGAACATGGAAGAAGGTCCTGAAAAAGAAAATCAGGCAGGAACTTCATAAATGAATGAAAAAAAGACTACAATATGTGTCAATGACCTATTGAAACACTCTTGGAAAAAGTAGCAAGGACCCACCCAGCCACTTAAGACTGGGAAGGCTGTTGTACTGGGATTTTTCACCTAATTATTTGACAAATCTTCCTATGTGGTATAGTATTATAAGTTTTGGTCCACACAAACTATCATGCAAAGATGCTGCAAGATCAAGTTTATTGTTGGTGTTATATTGTTGCATTAATAACTACCGTAATTGATTTTTTTTTTTACTTATGGACAATGACATGGTTTCCCATATAAACCCACAGAACAGAATATAAGTAAAGTTAGATGAAAATAATAAAATACCTGTACTGTACTGTAGTCAACAACAAACATTTCCCCCCTTGCAAGAGTCCTTTGAGATGTGGTGTTGTAGGTGAAGGTTGAAAATAAGTTACACAGACTGGAAAGCAAATGAAGAAGTAGCTACTAAGTCATATAGCAATTAGAAATGAGGGGATAATAACATTAATATTAATGGGTAAAGTTGAGGGTAGGTGGGCCATGGGAAAGCAGAGACCGGGATGGATGAATGAAATTAAAAACGGTACCCAAAGAGACGCAAAATCTTGGAGAAATGGTAAAAACAAATCGAGTGGAGGGTTGTACAGTAATTACCAACTTTCAGATATGATGACGGTACTCTGATTGATTAATTGATTAGTATTTAATTCACCATTCATTAGTTTACGAGGCATTCAGGCAGTTGGTCCCTACTTTTGTTACTTTGTCATGATCGTTATTGGTGCTAGAACAGGACACCTGTAAATGGTAGTGTCACTGGATGTGCCTTCCCACCTGTGTCTCAGGCTGGGACTCGAACTCAGAATACTCTTGTGAGAAATGCACACTTACCACCAACACTCATTTACGAATAAAATACAAACAAAGTTGTACTTCTAACCCGCAATAAACCCAACCTAACATAACATAGTTATTAACTAATTTCAATGTAAAATAATTATATTTAACGTTTTTTAACCTCACTACTGCTAAGTGACCTAACTCCTTATCATGTAAGCTATTTTTAGTTAATAATGTACAAGCAATGGGAACCTAACTTAACCAAACATAATAAAATGCATAACTAAATTCAAGGTAAAATAAGTTCCTCACCTGATCCTTGTTAAACTTGCCGAACTTTATCTAATAAAAGTTATTTGGAGTTTATATAAGCAGTGCAATCAGAATCACCTGAAGCTAAATTTTTGTTTGCCATTTCAAACCTGCACAAATTTCTAAGGGTTAGGCTGTACAGGTATTATACTGGTTCTTTGTTGTTACTATTTGTAGACAATAGGTATGGACCGACTGTACAATGGCCTCTCATTGGTGGATTTGCTAACCACATGTAAACAGCCAATCATATTGACGCTCTGATCAACACCAGTGTATATCTATGAGCCGCATGGTCCGGATTGCTGTTCTTACGTCCACAAAACACATAAAATTACACCATAGCTATCATAGTAAGTTTTTTCTGTTTAATATGCTAGGGGACTGAGCCCCACAGCTAGGACTTTAGGTTAGGTTAAGGAGGTCTTCTAACAACACTTCTGCCACTTGTTTTTCTTATCCACAAAGGTGAGGTTATGTTTAATTTAGAAACAACTACTTTTTAACACATTTGCCCAAATTACGATAAGATCCACTGTAAAACACAGTGGAATTGCGGTGTTTTTAATTAATTTTCTATGAAAATTTAGCAGCGGGAAAGTTATCAATAATTACGCCGGTATGTAAAGTAGGTTACTTAAAGTTAAGTTGGTTAGGTCAAGTTATAATAGGTTTTGTGCATTCTCATTTCCATTTATCTATTTAATATACTTCAAATAACAAATCGAAAGTTCATCACTAACATACAAAGGCTCCAGTGGATCCCTGTACACTCTCTCCTTGGGCAGAATACCCATCGGCGGTGTCATCTGCAAGACATACAATCGTCTATAGGCACAGCGATTTGTGGTTATTTTGGCAGTTTTTTCACCTTATTCTTGGGTTATATTAGCTCTTGCTTCTATATAATTTCACTTGCAACTGTCTATATTCCAGTTTATACATACCATGTACTTTAAATAGGTGTAACAGCGCCGAGGAGGCTGGGGCATCACAGGTCGTCAGCTTCTAACACCCACTTGACCAGTCATAACTTGGTGTGACGTCATCAAGCATGGCCGTGCCCAGGGGCCAATCTGTTAAACAAAATTTGTTTTGAGTATTAACTGGCAGCGAAAAAAGACGTCGTAGCTCGTTATGGCTAACTATGGGAGATGGCATGTCTTAAAAAATTTCAGTATCCAATCCATGTTTGGTAACGATGTATTTTGAAAGGCAAGATGATAAGGAAGCAGATCATGTTTTAAGGAATTATTGCCTTAGTTTTCGTAGTTCTAACTTGAACCATAACAGTAGTGTGAGACAGGTGAATAATATAATATTCTGACCTGAATCCCGTGTTTAAAACAAACATAAACAACGTAAGTAAGGGAAATTACTACGACCTGCTCATATTTACTTTAGAGTCCCCATTATCTTACGCTCCCATTTTCTACAAAGAATTTATGAATGAAATGTTACCACGTCTCTCCATCCATGTTTCTATACTTATATATTTGTCAATTTAGGTCATGAGTTGGGGAATAAAATTGCTGGCAAGTGGTCATATTTGAGTGTCTTCAAGTACTCAAGTAGCTACTTTACGGTTACTGAAGACAGATACAGTATGATAATAAAACGGAAGAGGATATATAAATGATTCAAGGATTAACAGGTTAGGGATTCGATCGTATTTTGTTCATCACAAGGCTTTATATGAAGTCCTAAACCCTATAAATACTTCAATGTCTAGGAATTTATATAGTGTATCATGAGTGCGGTTGGAACCCCCTTCCCTTATAAACCGCAGATAGAAGTGTTCAGCTATCACTGTTGTGTTTACTGGCGGAGTGTGAGGTGATCGGACCGGGATTTGTCTGACATTTCGCGGAGGGATTGTGGAGTCTATACGAGAGATGCCGTTGGCTCAACAGCCGGGCCTCTGGTCCAAGCTTCAAGTTCAAAAGGATGTTGAGGTCAGTTGAATTATGAATTTTAACGCTGAAACAATGGACGAGGGTGTTGTGTTTGGTAGTGGCGGGAGCCCAGCCCCCTCGACCACCTGTGTGTCTCCCCTGTCACCATACGCCTCTTGACGCTCGTAGCACGCTCATCACCTCACTTGAGGACGTACACATGAGACTCATCACGCTCACGTCCACTGTTTTTTATGTCAGTTGTTTTCAAGGAAGAAAATATGCGTAAATGGGAGAGGTGTCAGTGTAGCTTGCCATTCATGACATGAGTGCACCTGACATAGCAGATGTAGATTAGCTTAATCGGGATATAAAATAATGGGCAAGTAAACTTGTTTGTGTCTTGTGACATAGACTTCTTTTACAGTTACGATATTTAATATAGTTAAAGTAACTTTTGGTCACTTTTTTTGGAAGATTTACAACTTTGGTCAAGCTTTAATTTTAATTACCTGTACAGTACTACCTGTATTATATTGTGCTTTGCATCTGCATATGATGTTGTAAAATATGTTTATTTTCAAAGGTAACAATTTTTATTTATTTTTTTTATTTTTTTTATTATACTACTGTGTCAATACAGGCACTACATTTAAGAAGAAATTCATTAAAATTATTGATTCCCCTTATAATTGAAGTAATGAGAAAGATGGTTTGGTGAATATTTACAGAAAACCTATTTGGCAGGTTTATTATTAATATATATATATATATATATATATATATATATATATATATATATATATATATATATATATATATATATATATATATATACTTGTGTTTTAGTCTTTGAAACTGGTGTTAGAACTGTGAAATTATGAGTTTTCACTTTGCAATCTTGAAATAGTTTTTGTTCTGAAGGGTGTAGTATCATGCACTCCTTTTGAAACAGGTAAAATTAACCGTATATATAATCCAAACTTAACCTACTCAAACTTAAGTTGGTCAATTTGCTTATTTTGAAAAAAATATTAAGTTGAAAATTGAAAGTCATCATTTTTTATTTCCAATACTGGATCTGTAAGTTACAATTACTGTCAAGAAATAATTGTTCTTTAAAAAAAATCCCTTGAATTACTTGTATTGGCCACTTATCATAATGGCTATGGATATTTGTCCGGTTGTCATTTGGGTAGGTTTTTCTTTAGACTAATACCAGAAGGAATTAATAGAAATGGTCAAAACTTATCAAAGCTTGAGTTTGGAGTTTGAGTGTTTAATGGCTTATTTGATATCACTAAAATTTTGGTGTTACGGTACTTCACCGCAATTTTTTTACCGTATTTAATTATTTTTTAACTCATCTTTAAAAAGGAGAACAAGAGGTAGCTACAGGTATTTTACTAAACACCTGTACAGTACTGTACTCCCAAACTTCTGTGAGGGCATCCATGTCCACACCTCGAGTAACTTTTATATCGAAGGCAAGTTATCACTAACCCTTGGAGTCTTAGCTGAGTTAAAGTTCTTTTGTATTACTTTAATTCTGACTCTTATTTTTAATTGGTTCTAATTTGGTCCTTCTCCATATATATATATATATATATATATATATATATATATATATATATATATATATATATATATATATATATATATATATATATATATATATATATATATATATATATATATATATATATATATATATATATATATATATATATATATATATATATATATATATATATATATATAACATAGTACTGGTTCTCCAAACATTTTTATTTTGTATTTGTAAGAAGTGATATGCTTAATCTAGATTCTGGTAGCAGGGAATATGAGTAAAACATATTTCTCCTACTTTAAGGAAAACTAAATGAATGATTCACAGTATTATGCTCAAGCAGTTCTCATCATGAATGATTTTAAATTTTTTGGAGAATGGGTGAGTGGAGTCAGCTAAATATCTTGTTGAGTAACCAGGTTCTTGCTTTGAATTATCATGTTCTCAATTACACTGTTACACATGATTAACTAACTACGGTAAATTTTATTTTTGAAAAGTATGTGGTGCGACTGTTGTTACTATTTGTAGTTATACTGTTAGTTTAATACTATCTTCATTTTATAGACTTTCAGGGGCAAGTGTAACAGTTGTGTTCTGTGTCTTTGCCCCTCCTTAACGATCATGATTTCCAGCTGATTTTCCTATTACTTAACATAACCCAGCTTAACTCACCCCCCTCCACCCAGCCATAAACTACTTTATACCTTACTGTCCTCATATTTTGGCACATGACTGATAAAGCATGAGTGTTAGCTTGACATGTTATGTCTTTATACTTAGTACAGTATTGCACTATATTAAATGGTGATCTGTACATACCAGAAACTTTAAAAGAATGAAATAAAATACCTGTACTTATTTTCATATTATTTAGACATTGATATAGTCCTTTATTGTTCTGTTATGAGTGTGAATGAGAAACAGGACAGTTCATATGCTTTGTAATGGGAAAACTTTAATTATCCAGTTAATCTGAAGGGACTTATATACCTCAAATCATGTATGGTAGTGTATGTTGAGATCACTATACCTGTACTGTACAAGGTCTTCTCGTTTAAGGTCACCTTAATTAGTATTATTTCATTACAGCATTGTTACTTATATCCTCTTTGCCACTGGTTGGCTCGTTGGCCGCTTGGCCAAAGGTTTCGTATAAAAGTTGTGTGTAGTGTTGTTCACTGTTGTCTGTTAGAGCACAATGTCTTTGTGTGACAAACTGTGGAGGATGTTCAATGTTTCCACCTTGATCTTCATTGTTGTCATTATTATTTATATTGTGAGCTGTAGTTTTTAAATATACAGTTCAGTATATCCCTTTATTATTTTTCCACACATCTTATGAACTATCCCAGGATGATTACAAAGCTTGCTGGAGGTGATAATGCTGTGTCTACCCCAAAGAAGTCAAGTAATCTATCAGTGTGGGCACTAAATTAGAAGTCTTATGGCTTTTTGATGCTGGTGAGCATGAAGTGGACATTAGTGTTCTTTTAAGTCTCATTCCCACTACTCCGAGATCCATTCAAGGTAATATTGATGAAATTTGGCTTGAAATTTGTTCAAAGATATTCTAATAGTCAAGAAGTGCAATTATGGAGACATGGAATGTGCCTTAGCATGCTGTGGATAGATGACTATAGTCGGCATCATGCACTGGGCAGTCTGCTAGTTTTTTAAGCTAATAACAAGGATTTGTATGACAACTAGAGAGCTGAGATAGGCAAAGGATCACGGGCAGAGCTGTTCAGTGCAAGTAATTGAAGAAATACCCGTAGGTTTCATAGTATGGGTACAGGGTACAGAGTATCTTCCTCTCCTGGTTGCTCACACCCTCTCCATCCCTCCCCTTGATGGTGTTCTCCTCTGGTAGCCTTGTCAGATTTGATAAAGAGTCACCGCAAATCAGTTTCTCTCTTGTATAAAATTGTTGTGAGGAAGAGAATTCAATTCAGTTAGCTTGGGTCAATGTTTCATCTGGGGCAAGTATTTGTTGTCGGATTTCCAGCCCTCACTTTATGAGTACTGTATGTGTATCAAAAGGCCACGCTTGCTGATCCTTCTTTACTTTAGTCACCCTTTCCTTTGTATTATGTTTTTGTTTTCATTTATTAATTATCTACTCACTAGGATTTATTTTTGTTTGTGTATTTTTTTTTTCTGCGAGTATGGGTACCCGTCAGATATTAAGAGGGATTCATTACTGCGTTGACATAATAATACATTCAAAGTAAAATTATTACAGGAAGGAGAAAACAATCTTTGATGCCCTGTCCCTTAAATTTGTGGATTGGCTGAGCTCCCTTGTTTGAAAGGTTGATTTGGTTTGTGACATACAGGAATGAGTGGTTGTGTGCAAGCTGCCCCCAGTGATATGTTACCAAGCCATGGGATTAAATTTACATCTCAAAAATTGGGAATCTAGAAATAAAATACAGATATGTCTGACATTCCACAGAAGCAGAGAAGACTTGCCATATTAGAATTTGGTCAAGTATAGTCTCTGTTCAATTTTGACGCCACTTTGTCCTGCATCATCTTGAATTGGTTAGGTTAGGTTCATTTGTACATCATCATCATGTAGGGGGTGGGGGTGAGTAGTAAACATATACAGTATTTAGTATCAGTTGAGGAGGATTTCTGTTAGAGCTGCCATATACAGATGTTGTGTTTATTGGGGGTTGTGTTACAGATGGTAAGCTTATTGAATTTTGTGATCGGCATTAAGTCATCTCTTCATTCA